TTTTTTTTTTTTTTTTTTTTTTGCGGCGAGGAGGGGGAACAGGGTCTTGCTGTAGTTGAGGCTGGCTCCAAACTCATGGAGATCCTCCTGCCTCAGCTTTCCAAGTGCTGGGATTACAGGGCATGCCACCATGCCCAGCCTGCAATATAGCTTCAAAAAACCCAAAGAATTGTCAAAGAAGTGTCTGGGGAAAAAAAAAGACTACATTGAACTCCCTCAAAATTCCCTCCCGAGCAAGCAGAAAGCCCAGTCAATTCCAGGTGGCATTCACAAGAACCTCCTGGCTGCTCCAGGAAACCTGCTAATCGCTGGCTCCAGGCACCTTCTGCACCCAGGCTAGCTGCAGGCTGTCGGAGCCACCGGCAGGCACAGAGTGGCTCTCCATGCTCCTCCCTCAGGCTCGGGGGCAACCTGCTTGGCGTTCACACTAACCCCCAGGTGGCCTTCCTTTCACCACAGGCACACGGCCTTGTTCACGACTATCAATCACTCTACAGTTCCGAAGAACCAAGTCTATATGAATGGAGGAGGGGAGAAGGAACATTTAAATCAATTAATTTCAGCAGCATCTTTATTGCAACCAAGAACCTGTAATAAAATGCAACAAAACTAATGTTTCACTTTCCATGATTAAAAGCCATGTAGCTGAAAATGAGAACACCCATAAACTTACTGGACCGAGACATGCAGTTCATTTGTACAAGTCAGTGCTTCAAACAGCAGGCACTTATGCTCCAGAATGAGAGACCTCCACTCCAAAGTCGCTGAATACAACACAATCCTGTATCAGGGTTGTTTAAAAACAAACATACAAACAAGACTTTGCTCTCTCTCTCAGAGGGACTTGTGAACCTGGTACCTGGAGCCCAGCACCTTGCACTAGGCAGTTCTGGGCTGGAAGGTGGGCGGGTTAGGCTGGGAGCCAGGCAATCTCCTCACTCCTCTGTGCTGGGAACGGGCACTCACATCATCTCTTCATTTAGACAGGGCCATGGTCCTTTAAAAATGTATAAAATAGCTCTAAAATGGGCTCCTGGGCTTAAGCAAAGGCTCTACGCTATATCCCAATTCCCCACATTTAGTGTAATGATTTTAATTAACTTCAGAATATACTAATTAGAAGTACTGCTTCTTTAATAAGCATGCTTAGCATTTACTTTAGAATGGAAAAATTAACCATTTTATGTAGTTACCTTTAAAGTGTTTTACAGGAATATATTAATAAATACTTCTTTAAAAAATCTGCCTATATATCATTTAGTCACCATGTGGCAGGACATGTGGACAGCCTAGGACAAGCTGAATGCTAACTGGCTGCGAGACTGTGGGCATACTTCCTCCTCCTATCGTGGTCCTCCTCTAGTAAATGAGAATAACAGATTATATCAAAGACTTACTCCAGCTAGAAAACTCACGACTCTTCAATAATGAAAGATCTTATTGGGATCATTTTACCCCTAAAGAGAGAACAATGCTATACAACAATGGGATATATCTTCTGTAAGGAATACGAGTAATTTAAAAATTTAGCATCAGTATCTATATTTCATTCTGTTTCAAAGTAACACACACACTGTCATGTCACCTTCTCATGAGAGGCTGTGGAAAGGAACCAGGAATGGCCCACAGGGAAAAACCTTCATTCCAAGATGAACACCTCCTGCTGCTTTCAGAGTGAGAAGGGGCCAAGTGCTATACCAAGCCAATGGCTTTTCTGACTATTGTTTTAGGTTCTTATGAAATCAGTTCAGTGTAAAAAACATCTATTATTTTCTCACTCAAAGTCCATTCTCTAAGCAGAGTTTCTTTTTTTGTACTAGAGATTGAACTCGGGACCTTGCGCTTGCCAGGCTGGCCTTTATGCTGCTGTGCTATTTCTCCAGCCAAGGAAGAGTTTCTTAAAGTTAGTCCACAGGACACCTGATTTGGAATAACCAAAAAAGCTAATCAGAAATGCAATTTTCCAGAGCTTTTTGTAAAAGGGTCAGAGAAGGAAGAGAAATGGAAAAAGACATGTTATGTTCAGGCACAAATTCCGCATGATGAATGTGATCATTATGTATATCAAAAGTGTACCAATTTAAAAAAATGCAATTTTCTAGTCCATACCTAAATCAACCTAATCCATTCTTTTTTTTTTTTTTTTAATGGTTCTGAGACAGGCTCTTGTTATGCAGTTCAGGCTGGCCTTGGGCTCACTTTCTAGCCAGGCTGGTCTTGAACTTGCAATGATCCTCCTGCCTCAGCCTCCCGAGTACTGGGATTACAGGCCTGCTCCACCATGCCCAGCCCAAATTTCTAAGAGTACAAGATTGCAGACTGTATTTCTTTTAGTAAGCATCCCAGATCGATCTCTACAAAGGTCACTGCTCTATGAAGGTCAATAACTACATTTGTTGGTGGTTGTTCAACTATATCTAGTAAGCCTATAAATCCAGTTTGCTGCTTTGCCAGTGCTTTTCGGCTCTCATCAGACTGCTGCTACTTTGTCATTCTCTCGCCTTTACACCGTTACCCACAGTCAGGGCACCAACAATTCCAGTGTGGTTCCCACTGACGGTCAGTGGGCCGTCAGTGCTTTCCACGCTGGATGTAGAACAGCAAATTTGGACATCTTTTTGCAGGTGAATTCAGTTAGGTATTTTTCCCCTGGAGAAGTAGAACAGTATTTAAGTGAATTATAAAAAGAGCACCCCTGGTGACAGGAGAAAATAGACAAGATGCAAAAGAGAAGCACCTGTGAATTAAAAAGTATCTGATACTTTCTAAGGTTTGTTTTGATCATTCACAAGAGATGCTACATTGAAGAAAACCTAAATGGGTAAGAGGTTTCTGATGAGTAGCTGTCTAAAAGCTACTTTATATAATTTCTGCTTTGCATATAATTCATATAAGAACAGATCCCTGGAGGCCAACTATTTCAAAAATACCACCCTCAGCAGTCACATATCTACTAGAGTCATGAGGGAAAATACTTTCTTGGGGAAGAAAAGTTACCCAAATCAATTTAATTTAACAATGAAAAAATATAAACAAATCTTGGCATGAGAAAATACCATAAACATGAAAATCAATACATATGCAGACAACAAGGACAACTGCGGAATCTATAATACAGCATTAATACAGAGCCAGCAACCCCCTGCTTCCCAGCCACAGCAGCAGCAGGGCCCCCGACCCAGGCTCTGTGACTCGGTCCCAGTCCAGTGACCGACCCACACTGCGTTCTCCAGGAGAAGCGGGCTCTGAGAGGGGAGAAGCAAGCAGAGCCACTGCTCTTAGTGAGGCTCAAAGATACTGGCAGTGACTTTCCAAACACTGAGGCCTGTGATTAAAAGGACAAACCCAGAGCCATCTTCCTACCACTGGTTCTGAGGGACCCCATGTGGTACCTGAAGACTCTGCCAGCTGGCATTTGAATGGCAGCTGGCATTTGAAACCGAGGGACTCGCTTCACAGTAGAGTGCAAGAGCCAAACCAGAGAAATGTCACGGCCATCCGAGATGGGCTTTAAACATGGAAAAGGAGCTGGGGCTTACTAGGAATTAGATTATGGTAAAGAGCTTGTCCGAAAACTTACTTTAAGCTCACAATATCTAAATTATGTTCAATAATTTAAGAAGGATGAAGTTTAAATATGTGAGGTTTCAAAATTTAGGAGAAAAACATTTTAAAAATTGGAATTATATTGGGGGGCCAGGGAGATGGCTCAGTAGAGTAAGCGCTTCCCTGGCAAGCGCAAGGGCCTGAGTTCAAACGCCGGTTCCCGGAAAAAAAAAAAAAAATTGGAATTATAACTCTACGGACCTTTATTCCCCTGAATAATGTAAGTTTGCAGCTGGGTTAAAAGAGTTATTTCTTAATTCTGGTCTCAACTAATGTTCTAGCAGTTAAATTTCACTTCCCCAATGTGTTTCATGACTGCTCGTGTTGAAAACCCTTCTGCTTGGTTCCTAACCAGACCCTGCCAGCGCCTCTCCCTCCTTCCTCTCACCTGGTCCCCCACCCACGGGGATTTTCTTCCATCTCCCTAAAACCTTGGAGTGTTTTAATAAGGAAATACCAAATGGAGACTGGCCTATGTTTTCTGAATTTGAGTAAATCTATACTTTTTTCTTTTTCTAAAGGGTAAGGGGGATGACTTGCCTGCAAAATATTTAAGCTCTCTAATCATTTGATTAAATTTTTTCTGCCTGTAGTTATCAACATCATAAGACTAATTAAAATCCATGCTACATATACAGTTACTTGCCTTTATGAGAAAGGAAAAAACCCACTGTCGTATCATCAAAGAAAAGTGAGAAGTATTTATACTAGATACAATTTAAATTGGTTAAAAACTGGTCAGAGCCAAAGCATCTTCAGGAGGCCACTAAGTTACCCTTGAAAAATCATTAACTGGTTAAGTCAAAGGTTTATCAGTGATTAGTCTTAACATGCTGGACGTGTTCCAAGCAGTGAAGCAGGAGCTACTCATTACATTTAAGTGCTATCGAATCTGTAACTAGTCAAGAGATTCTGGAATGAACCAAACCAATCACTAATATATTTGAACAAACTCTGAAGTATACTGTAAAAATACACTAAGTCCATGAGATTTATAATGCTATTAAAAAGTGAAAATAGGGGAATATGGACATGTGGTGTTAATGTCTTATTTCTTTCAGTTATTTTTCATGGTATTGCTGGATCCCTTAGAAATGGGCATCACCCAATTGTGTATGTGTTTAAGGTATCTGATTCCTCTTCACAAGCTGCAGCAGATGCCTGTATGGCACCAAATTAATTTTCAAAAGATGTTATGTGACAGGTACCAAGATGTGACGATAGATTCCATTTTGTCTGTCACCGAAACCTCCTCATTTGGTTAACAGCCAGTGTGTACCCGAGTTCTATACAGGACAAAGTTATATCACTTTCAGAGCAGCAATACGTGATCCAAGGTTTTCTTGAAGGTAGTGCAAAAGATGCAGTTCATAATGTTCTCCAGATTCAGGAACTCTGATGCTGTGTCTCTCCTGAGGATAGATCTTAACAAGAAGGAAAAAAGAAAGAAAAATTTGTAGTACATGTCTTTAAACCTTTCTGGGGATTTTTTTTTTTTTTTTTAATTTAATTTTTTTTTTTTTTTTTTTTTTTTTTTTTTTTTTTTTTGCAGAACCGGGGATTGAACTCAGGCCCTTGCACTTGCCAGGGAAGCACTTGTTCTACTGGGCTGTCTCCCCGGCCCCTCTGGGGATTTTTTTTCCCCCTCTGGGGATTTTTAAATGACATTCATAATACAGAGCACAGCCTCTCCCAAAATCTTACATGCTATCTCCTCTCTGAAGGCCCCAACCTCCTCTTGCTGTGCCTTATATCCCGCCCCATAGGGCTTCAGAAAGTACCTTTGTGAACATCAACCGCTCAATGCTCAAGTGTGGCCTGCAGACTTCAAAGGGTCTTCAGAACTCCTTCAAGGGGTCCCTCAGGCCACTCAGAACAATACCAAGCCTCCATTTGCCTTCCCTGGTCATCATCACACTCGCTTTACTCACCACACTGCAAGACGATGCAACTCAACTCAAGAACGAAGGCAGTGACACTGACGTGCATAGAAGCCAAGGCCTTCTTTACCACCACACATGGGCAGAAGGAAGAAAAATGCCAGTTTTGCCCAAGTAGCAGTAAAACTTCAGAATTTTAGAAAGCTGTAATCCTCCAGTGTTGAACTGGGCAACAGCACGCAGCAGAGCCCACAGCAGCGCATCCTGAGGAACAGCACATTCATGGCCAAGCGCAGGCCGACATGGCACTGTATCCTCTCCCCAAGGGAGGGGCTGGCAACTGTGACTACCCAGACTGCGGTACGTGGTGAACATTTTCTCAAAAATGAGGGAAAGAAGCGAGTCACCTCGGAGACCCAACAGCATCTGTTTGCCAATGATACTGAGCTTTTGAATAAAAGTTTCAATTTGTGTAGCTCACATCTACTGCTGTATCTAATAAGCTTCCTTGTCCTTAGCATTCTGATGAGATCAGTGATGGTATCACTATACAGAACTTAAACAATATCATATAATGAAAAAAAATTATATAATGACTAGAGTCAACATTTGAAAACTGACATGACACAAAGAACCAGTATTTTTCAGAAGGGTAAAAAAGACCTATTTGATATAGAAAATTTAATAAATACTTAATGTACAAAAGTTTACAGAGGGGCTGGTGAGATGGCTCAGTGGTCTAAAGCACCTACTTAGAAAAAGCTTAGCAAAGCAAAAGGACCACAGTTCAATCCCCCAGCACCACATGCCAGCCAGCCCCGCCCCCTGGTGGGCTGAACTGGCCACACACACACACACACACACACACACATAAATAAATAAAATTAAAAACAAAACAAAACAAAACAAAAGTTTACAGAGATGGCTTCAGATTTCCCAGAAATTAAGCTTAAGAAGGTATCACTCGTCTAGATTTGGAATAGTGGCAAAGAATGTCCACAATTATCTGAAAAGGCTACAGAGAACATCCCATCCCATTTCTTAACTATATATTGTGTGTGAGGCCAAATTTTTCTTCAAATACTGTAGCAAAAACAATATATCACAAAGGGTTGAATGTAGGAAGAAATATGTACTCCATGGTAGCTTCAAACTCATAATCCTTCTGCCACAGCCTCCCAAGTAGCTGGGATGACAAATGCATGCCAGGGCTGGGGAGCTAACTCTGGTCTAAGTGCCTGCCTGGTAAGCACAAGGACCCAAGTTTGATCCCAGGTATCACATGCTGTGCTGACCCTGGAACTCTGGGCACACTAAGCTGGCCAATGAAACCGGGCATGGTGGTGCAAGCCTATAATCCCAGTGCTGGGGAGGAGACAGGAGGATCACTATGAGTTCAAGCTACAAAGCAAGACCCTGTGTCAACTAACTAACTAACTAACTAACTTTAAAAAATGCGTGCCAGTATACTAGTAATACTGAAAATGTTTCTCAATTTTACCACCTTACACGAAACTTTTGAGATGGGGTCTCACATTAGCCTTGAACTTGTGAGTACAAGTGATCCTCCTGCCTCAGCCTCCTTAGTAATTGGGGCAACAGGTACGTGTCACCACACCTGGTGAGAAATGCTGACAGACACAATCCACATAAAAAAGCTCTTTGGTATGTAAAAGGGTCCTCAGACAAAAAAATCTTTTTTTTGGTACTGGAAGTCAAACTCAGAACCTTGTACTTGCCAGGCAGGCACTTGTGCTACAAAAGTTTTGAAAAACAAGTCTTGAAAATTGTTGAGGGGGCTGGAGAGATGGCTCAGTGGTCTAAAGCACCTACTTGGAACAAGCTTGGCAAAGCACAGGGACCGCGGTTCGATTCCCCAGCACCACATGCCAGC